ACCCCACCTTGATGTTTCGGGACCCCACTTTGGGTCCTGATCCTAACTTTGGGAAACACTGCTTTAGAATAAGTAGATCAGTTGCAGTAGTTTAAAGTGAAATGATGCGGCTTTAATGTGATCCATGTTGCCGCTCCTGAGAGTGCAAGGTTGGCCCCGTAGCTCGTGTTCGTGACCCACAAAACCAGGTTATTATAAACTAAATACGCTCAGATCCACATATGTGTTTAGTGGCGTTTATTTGATGAAACACAGYGAAGAAAAATGGATATGATRGAYTGACCAGTGGATAAAACAGACAAAAACATAAAACAAAGTAGCGTGACGCGGCGGTGTGGTGCGGTCAACAAAAATTGCGGCACCCAACCTTCCTCTCAACAYCTATGCCACCCAGGTGAGCGCACACTTATTCTTGCACACGTATAGCTCACGTGAACCCTGCCCCACCACACCCACACACACATATAAGCACTTCCTGCACCTCATTCACACACACCGTGGCCCATGTCTCCTATGAGCTCTTCCTTCATTTAACTTTAGACAGCTGGAATAAATGTATGCTGAAATRACCTGAATCCTATACCATCAAACAMCCTTAAATAGTGACAAATTTATTTAATATTTTATGCTTTTTCCATATTTAAGATATTAATCATTACAGCTTGATTAGACAGAACGATTCATTAGATTTCACAACTCTTTCATTGAGCTGTAGATATCTTTCATTAGATTTTCCTTGCAGCTCAAGGTTTTAATTTTGTCAAATCAAAACATAATTATAGGAACTCATAAATGTTTACAGAAATGGTAAAACGATAAGTATACCCTTTTTTAATTTTCATGTTTTAATTTTCCAGATGCAAACTTTAAACAATAGTTTATCATAAATATGAACAAATCAAAATACTGTATTTTTTTATAGCAAAAACAAGATTTTTTTGAAAAGGTTTACTTATATTTGGAACAGTACTGTACTGAGATAAATGTAATTATATACATAATCAAATCTGAAAGAAAAAGACTATTATCAGAAATCTTGTGAATATAATCCCATTGAATGAAATAAGGTCAGTCTGGACATTTTTATTATCTATCTAGCACATCCTAGAAACAAAAAAATGTTTGAAGTTCAATAATAACTTGCACTGA